AAATTATTTATTGTATTTAAAAAATTTCAAACGGAAGTTGTTTGGTATCAAGTGGGGCATGCAATGTAATAATTAGTTTTTTGATAATCCGCTTTTTTATCGAGATATGAAGGTCGCCTTGAATTTTTATAGCATAATGTGTAATATTTGACCTTGTAGTTCGAGAGAGTACTGAATGATGAGTAAAAAAAACTATAAGGTATATGCGGTCAAAAGTTACCGAAATATTCTTCAGTGAAAGATGATGAAAAGTTTGTGCATGGAATTGGCAATAAAATAATTGGACCATATTTTTGTGAAGGATCATTGACAGGGCGCAAGTATTCCATCTTCTTGTCCGAAATACAACCATCTTTACTATCAGATTTACTGTTACAAACAATTTCAACAATGTGGTATCAGTACACGATTGTCCTGCACATTATGCACAACAAGCACGTCAAGTATTGCTGAGATTGCTGAGATTATTATTCGATGGATTGGACGTGGAGGACAAACTCCATGACCAGCTGGGTCTCCGGATTTGACGCCACTAGATTATTTTCTTTGGGAACATTTAAAAAATGAGGTTTATTGCGAACTACCTACGACACCTGAAAACATGAAGGATTGTGTCATTAGAATATGTAATGGTATAACTGCCGAAACACTTGAACGTGTGTCACTCGCTCTGATTGATCGCCTACGCATTTGTATTCGATATAATGGACAGTATTTTGAGCATTGCTTATATTAAAGATTAATTAAGGAATATCTCGGTAATTATTAGTTTTTGACCGCATATACCTTATAGTTTTTTTACTCATCATTCAGTACTTTTTCTAACCATAAGGTCAAATATTACACATCATGATACAAAAATTCAAGGTGATCTTCATATCTCGATAAAAAAGTGGACTATCAAAAAACTAATTATTACATTGTATGTATGCCCCATTTGATACCAAACAATTTTCGTTTGGAAATTTTTTTGATACAACAAATAGTTTACGAGTACATTGAAGTGGCACAGCTAAAAAAGAACACAACCTGTAAATTTTATTTTGCTTTATGACCTTCCCTGCGTCGCTTAACATATTTACAATATACAGGGTATCTCAGCCGAAGCAGGCCACCTAAATATTTCCTTCGTTTTTATGATATAAAAAATATTTATGACATAATATAAATGGTTTGAAACGAGGAATAATCTGGAAAAAGAATTTCTTTGTCAAGTCTATTTTCTAGGTGTTTTCAAGGTAACTGTTATTGTTTATGTGGAAAAAACGTTTTTTTTTTTCATTGCATCTTGTAGCGGATGAAAAAATACATTTGAATACGTTTCACTCATGACCTTAAAATGACCTTCAAGTGACTTTAGAAGTGAAAAATATAATAAATTTGCCTGAATAATATTCGGACTTACTATTTATGTTATTAAGTGTTTAATGTGATGTTATTTTCTGATATAAGTTATTACAGCTTGTGATGCTCTCTCAACTAATTTGCGGTTATCAACAGATAAGTATAAAGGTCTGTTTCGTAGCTGACTACGAAGAGATTGTTAGTACTAAATAAACCTTAGTAAACGTCTCACGATATTGTATTATTTGAAGGAAGAACAAATCGATCTGATTTAAACTTATGGTGCAGCTAATAAATACATAAGGGGAGCTGTACGACTGTGCAAAGAACAATTTCCTAATCGAAACTGTCCATCACGTTCGTCATACACTACGATTATTAAGAAATTCGAACAAACCGGCAGTATTCAGAAAAAAAACCTTTCAATACTAAACCTGCTACACACGATGCAAACTTAACAAGAGACACTGCTGCCGTAAATCAAAATCCACATATTAGTGTTAGAGAATTAGAACAACAAATTAATATCAGTAAATCAAGCGTATCACGAATATTGAAGCTACAAAAATTTCATTCATTTCATTTGTCTCTTTACCAAGAATTTCATGGCTCAGATTTTGAAAACCGCGTCGCCTTCTGCCGATTAGCGTTGCAGCAACTTGAAAATGATGCGACGTTTGTTACGAAAATCTTGTTTACAGATGAAGCATCCTTCACTAATCACGGGTAAATAAATCTTAGAAATATGCATTATTGGTTCATAGAAAATCCACGATGGATGAGACAAGTAGAAAAACAACGTTCGTGGACTGTTAATGTTTGGTGCGGAATTTTAAATAATACTATTATTGGACCTTATTTTATCAACGGTACATTAAATGGACAAAAGTACGCAACATTTTTAGCGAATGACTTAAACGAATTACCAGAAGATATACCACTAAGTATTCGTGAAATCATGATGGTTGCCCAGCTCACTATTCACGGGTAGCTGTACAGGTACTGAATAGAAAGTTTCCAAATCATTGGATTGAGCTTAATGAGAACACAGCTTGGCCAGCACGATCACCAGATCTGACGCCACTAGATTTTTTTCTGGAGGAAACATTAAAAGAAGAAATGTATTAACAGAGACCTACCACTCCCAAAATCATGGTGAATCGTATTATTAATGTTTGTGCTTCAATTTCACCTGAAACAATTGAGAGAGTATTACAAGCTGCAATAACTTGTATCAGAAAGTGTATCGCTACCGACGGACATAACTTTGAACACTTAATAACATAAATAGTAAGTCCGAATATTATTCAGGCAAATTTATTACATTTTTCACTTCTAAAGTCACTTGAAGGTCATTTTAAGGTCATGAGTGAAACGTATTCAAATGTATTTTTTCATCCGCTACAAGATGCGATGAAAAAAAATATGTTTTCCACATAAACAATAGTGATGACCTTGAAAAAACCAAGAAAAGACGACAAAAAAAATTTTTTTTCCTAAGAATTATCATAAAAAACGAAGAAAATATTTAGGTGGCTTGCTTCGGCTGGGACACCCTGCGCGCGCGCACACACAGAGGATGTCTCATTTTAATCGGCCCACCCAATTATCTCTTAAACTATTCATTATTCGAAAAAATGTTTCAAATAAAACTTGTTCTGTTTCCAGAAGGACATCTTACGACGACAACTAAAAGGTGACCTTTGTTTTTATAAATGGAACTATATGTTTTCATTTGGGCAGTTTTGTAGCCCACACCGAGATGAATTCATTAACCTAAACATGTTGGTATTTGAAGGTCATTCAAAGTCATTCATTGTTATTTTAAACTTACCTTAATGTCTCCTAAATGTGTAGGAACTGCTGCGAGTATTGCATCTATATGTTGTGAGTACTGTCTACGACGTTACCGTTGCATATTTCCTTGCCTAGCACGAAGTGCACTATCTCGTATTGTTAGACGATTTAAGTGCAGGCAATCAGGAAATCTTTCTCGATACAACCGTGCAGCTACTCTATAACTTTGCAGACACTCTCCCAGAATCGAAATCATGTCAAAAATTTCACCAGGCGTACGATTACACATCATGAATTGAATCACTATCGAAACACAGAACACGTAATGCTAGTCATAATAATACTGATTCCTTCGAAACAAATGCTGTGAAATAATAACCCTAGTAGTAGACCCATGCTTATAAACATAAATGCCGATAAATTGCACTACTTGTGTGAATACATGTTTACTACGATGAGGAAAATCTTGTAGCAGTACACACAACAGAATTTAAACAATTGTAACTGATCTTGAATGCCCTTCAAGTACCAACATTTTTAGGTTAATGAATTCGTCTTGAAGTGTGCTACAAAACTGCCCAAATGAAAACATATAGTTCTATTTAAAAAAATAAAGGTCACCTTGAGATCTCGGAAACGCCTACACATAAATAAATCTAGTGGTCATCATAAGATGTCCCCCTCGAAACAGAACAAGTTCTATTTGAAACATTTTTTTGAATAATGAATAATTTAGGAGATAATTGGGTGGAAGAAATATTGTATTACGGTGTAGTTTTAATTATAACATTAGTTCTTCTTTTTTTCTAAGTATCTTTAAATATCTTTTTCTATATTACCAATACCTTATTACAGTGGTTCGTCTGGTCATTTACACCGTAATAGTCTTGCGCCCGTTACTATGCAATGGGCAATACGTAATCGTGAATCAAGTATGCGTACAACTGGATTACGGGTAACAGGTGGCAGTAATCTGGTTTTTATTGACTCTTCAACTTTAAGACGTACTACTGCAACATCTGCTGTTGCAGCTGCACAAGAACCCATTATTATGGGTACTACTACCAGTTGTTTGGCACGTGCATTTGGAATTGTCATTCGACAGATTGCTGATCTTTTAGTTATGATGCAAGATTACAAAGCGTTACCGATCTCTTTGCCGTGCCTAATAGAGATCACCCATCAGGACGCATTGAATCTACAAGTATAATTTCTTTTTATTGTCTAACATTCAATATAATTGATTGAAATGGAATAAATCTAATGGAATACATTGAACAATTACACAGGTATATCTCGAGGAACACTTAAAACCCACATGGGATTGGCTACTCACGGTAATGGATGCCACAGAAGCACAACTGAGATTTGGTGTATCTCTGACACGTAGTGCGGATCCTACACATCCAGAACACCCACTAAACAACGCTCCATCGTTGTCTGGAGGCAATTTCTCTGGCTTATTGAATACAGCTGCTTTGTCCTTGACATTACAATCTAATACAGGTCGGAATCAACGCGGTGGTATCGCTACAAGCTCCAATATCTCCACTCCACAAGCTTCTACAAGACTCACCGTTGGTTTTGCAGGCGTTGGCGAACCGTCAAGAAACAGTAGAGAACGGGAAGGTATTTATTAAAACAAACCTTGCAACTTCAACATATTTTCCCATGAAAAATAATCAGATAATAAATTTTAATTTATATCTTTAAAATTAGAACAGGTCAATTAATTAATGTTATTTCTAGGTGGCGATATATACTTGGCAAGACGTGAATTTTTGTCCTATTGCCTGTCTTTAATGCGTGCACACAACGCTGAACACAGGGATAGTTTACCGGTATTAGACGTTTCCGCTTTGAGACACGTAGCTTACGTTTTCGACGCTCTAGTATATTATATGCGTTCGTTGTCGGAACCAATGTCGTCACGTGGAGAAACCCAGAAAGAATCATCTAACTATTCAGGCTGGAATGATCAGGTTTGCATTAAATTTAATTCATTTACTAGTAATAAGTATATATTACAATGATGTAACCGTCACAGGACGAGAATGATAATGACGAGGGAGAAGAGTATAGTTCACCGGTACCTACTACACTGGAAACAGATTCCGTCGATTACCCTGATTTACTTCAGGTTCCTATTTGCGGATCAGGAAATAATAGTAACAGCACGTCGAAGGGAAGAAAGCATCCCTTCTTACAAAGATCAGATTCTACTTTGTGTCTTGGTTGTCCTCCCCTTGATCCATTTGATACTGCGGTGATCGAGGCGTTGCCATTAGCCGATCAACCACATTTACTGCAACCCCATTCAAGACGAGAAGATCTTTTCGGTATACCAAAACAATCCAATCAGAATCCATTAGCCGGACTGCCCACGAGACTTAGTTTATCTGCACGCGGTGGTGATAATCAAAACGCTCCTGCGCCGACATTCAGCCAAATTATTCAGAGACCAGTATTTACGTCGTCAGAGACGAGGCGCAACAGTTCTGTAACAGTTGGAGATTCGACATCTGCAAAGCATATGGTAACGTGTGTCTTATACATAGGAAAAAAAACTGGTTGAATTTTTAATTCACTCACATGGCATTCATTTCTTACGTCTTTTTTTCGTTTTTCGTGGAAACATTTATTCGCATGTGAATAGCACAATTTATTTCAGCCCAAAATTTTCATTCTATTGTTGTAAGTGATCCTTTGTCCTTTTTTCTGTAGTAATTTACAATAATAAGAAATTTCGCTGCATTTCTTCCACGCATTACATTTCACTAAATCTTCAGCCGGCATGCATCACTTGCGTTTAGAGAAACAATAAAAAATATGTGGATTTACTTTCCATATTGTAGGAAAAGGCAAAATCGTTTAATCACACGAACGATAATCATACACTTGTTGCGGAGCAAATCGATCGAGCTCCGATTATTGTTTCTACTAATAATCAAAATGATCAAGCAGCAGGAAGTACCAAAAATAATAAGGATATATGTAAAACAAATAGAAGTGTAATTGTTAGAGCTGGAACTGTCTCGGTAAATATAACTTTAAAGTTCAAATAAGAAACGAAAAGAAAAAGTTAGAAGTTATAAAGATTTCTGAATGCACAATGAAAAAAAAATGTAACAAGTTTCTTAGATATATGTTGGATAAAATAATTGTTATATTTTAATTTTAAAGGAATCAAGTTCGAATAAAGCAGGTCCATCGGACATGATGGTCGCGTCCAATGAGACACAAAACGCGTCAGAAGAGATGGAATCGACCGGTTCAAGTCAAGAAACATCTACAACTCATGAAACAGTTGAAACGAGTCCAGTTTCATCCATTGGAACAAATATGTCACATAACATTTTATTGGGCCGTTGGAGATTATCCCTTGATCTATTTGGACGAGTTTTCATGGACGATGTTGGACTAGAGACTGGCTCGGTTGTATCTGAATTAGGCGGTTTCGACGTGAAAGAAGCTAAATTTCGCAGAAATATGGAGAAGCTTCGAAACGCGCAACAAAGAGACATTAATTTGTTCAAAGTAATTAATCGCAATATTTTAAATGATGCAAAGACAAACGAAATATGTATCAACATTAATATAATTCTAATACAATTTTCTGGTTAAGGTCGAACGAGACAGAACACAGCTATTAGTGCAAACGATGAAAGAATTAAACACACACTACAATTTGTATAATAGGCGTGCCTCTAATACACCACCATTAGCAGTACATCGAGTTAAAGTGACTTTCAAAGATGAGCCTGGTGAAGGCACTGGAGTCACTAGGAGTTTTTACACCGCAATAGCGGAGGTTTGTAATTGTTTCTTTTTAATTACCCTACTTGTTTTAGAAAATAACGCGAACGTGTATTCTTTACACAGGCATTACTCGCAAATGAAAAACTGCCTAACCTGGAAGCAGCACAAGTGGGATCAAAATATACACAATATAATGTTCTTCAAAAACTAAAAAGTAGAGATCGCGATCGTGATTTAAGGCGACAAGTAAGTATTAAATATTAAATTGTCATAAAGAAAAGAAGTCTTTATTCACGAGATTAATTTTTACTTCCAGAATCCTCGATCTTCTGGAAAGTGTCGAGAAACGCGTCGAGCACTATCTTTTGAAGCTCGAGTTTTTCACCCATCTAATTCTGTCGAGGGAAACAGCAATTCTGGAGCCAGTAGTTCGTCCTCCAATTCTCATCCGCTACCTGTTAGTCATCCAAATAATGATCACTTGACCATGCATCAACAACAACTTGGGGACAGGCTATATCCAAAAGTAATTAATAATAATAACAACAGTAATACATTGCAATGAATAGTCAATGTAATTATATATCCTCGAAAGAGATTCAATGGCATAACACCATTGTTACCTTATATAGGTCTACACATTGCAACCTGCATTAGCTGCTAAAATAACTGGTATGCTGTTGGAACTGTCTCCTGCGCAGCTATTGATGTTACTAGCTTCAGAAGATGCTCTACGACAAAAAGTAGAGGAAGCTTTCGAATTAATCCGTAGTCATAGTCAGGAGTCAGCTAGGGAGGCGCTACTTGATCTCGATGTGTTTAGCTTAATTGCGCGTTGCGGAGCTAGCAAAAAGAAGATCGAGAATAGCATTCTGGATGATACGGAGGACAACGCTCCTCTCTTTTATTCGCCAGGAAAAAGAGGTTTTTACACTCCGCGACAGGGAAGGGCTAGTTATGAACGGCTGAATGCATTCAGAAACGTGGGCAGGTTAGTACACGATAATAAAAATGAAATAATTATGGTTATTTACCCATGAAATTTTTTTAATTAGACTTATAGGATTGTGTCTCTTGCAAAATGAGTTGTGTCCTATATTTTTGAACCGTCACGTAATAAAATACATTCTGGGAAGACCGATCCGTTTCCACGATCTTGCATTTTTTGATTCTATAATTTACGAAAGCTTAAGGCTCCTTGTTATCAATTCTGAAACTAAGGATAGTAACAGTTTGTTCTCTGCTCTCGATCTTACGTTCAGGTAAGCACTCTCTGGAATGATATTTCTAGCACTTAATCTCCGAAAAAGAAATGCTTATGATATATTTGATAAGTTGCAATATCTATCTTGTTCTAGTATTGATTTATGCCCCGAAGAAGGAGGGGGATCGATTGAACTGATTCCAAACGGCCATGATATAGAGGTGACGGCGAGCAACATTTATGATTACGTACGGAAATACGCTGAAGTTCGTATGATTAAGGTACAAGAGAAATCTTTGCATGCTATGAGAGAAGGGGTATTCGACGTATTGCCAGAGGGGGCACTCGACGGCTTAACATCAGAGGACTTTAGGCTCTTACTGAATGGAGTCGGTGATATCAACGTTTCTGTTCTGATATCGTATACTTCGTTCAATGACGAGTCAGGGGAGCCTGCCGAAAGATTAGCTAAATTCAAGCGATGGTTATGGTCTATCGTTGAGAAAATGTCGCATTCAGAACGACAAGACTTGGTAAGGGATAATGAGCTATGCGTTTTGTTCCCCAGAAAAGAGAAATCTTGTCTTTCTTCTATGGAACATTAACGATATACCACTATTATTTAAAGCGATTCGTTTCATAAAAAATGATACCTTATAAATGATGCATTTTTATTTGTATTTCTACCCATATTTTATAGGTATATTTCTGGACGGGATCTCCAGCATTACCGGCAAGCGAGGATGGTTTTCAACCAATGCCGTCTGTGACATTACGACCAGTAGATGATCATCTACCTACTGCAAATACATGTATTTCCCGACTATATGTTCCATTGTACAGCTCTCGTCACATATTAAGACATAAACTACTACTTGCTATTAAGACAAAGAACTTCGGATTT